AGCAACAGTTGTAGCCAGCCTCGTTTCAGTATCCTCATTGTTCTCAACTAAAATGCTATTAAAGTGTGATTCCGTATGTAGTCCAGTTGCACTTATAAGCCTTTATGTTTCTTTCAGCCACTTTTTATATAAAATCTTTCAATATTTCTATTACTACAACTGTGTCATCTAGCACAGCATAGGTGATGTTCTAGTTATTTCTACCTTCAGAGATTTACTGTCAATCATAAAAAGTAATGTTTACCAGTGTGTAGATAAGTTCTTGTCATTATTGATCAACGTAGATTGGTCATTCCACATGTTCTTGACCCTGGAAACAAGATAAGAGAGGTGATATGGATACATCTATTGTTTAATCAAACATGAAATCCTTTTTAAAACTGTATCAGCAGCTTGATATTCAAGTAGATTTTTAAGTAGTTTGACCAACGTAAAATATCAATCAAGTAACAGGTCTGATTATATTGATGTTTTTGTTTGTTGCTTATCAAAATATGTTAAATTTACATTTCCTTTTTTTCATATTTCTTTTATTTTGGGTATAAACATGTGGAACCTTACACCTGGGAATATCCAGTAATTGAATAGTTTGATGAGAATTAAATTAATTTGAAAGTGTCACCCATCTGAATATGACTAGCATAAAATGTAAACGGGACCAAATAAGTTAATTTATAGTCTTTAAACTGGACTAGCAGTCAGCCAAGATACCATTATTAAATACATGAGCACAGAAAATGTAAAAGAAAAAACAAACAACTTTTGTCTCATTTAATCTTTTGAATTCGGCTTAATTAATTTTCTCTACAAGCAGCAGCCTTTTATCTGCCGCTTAACGCAACACACAGCAGAAAATGTGCGGGGATATTAGTGCTGAGTGGGTTAAGATGAAGATAGTTCACCAACACATCCTGGTTTTTAATAATTAGTCAGTAAACTCAGCATTGTCTGACGGAGGCTGGAAACTGTGCACTTTTATTTACAGTTAAAAACACTTTGCCATGTGTTTCAGCTTCTGTCAAAGTAACGGAGCTGCAGCGGCTTCCGGTAGCTTCTGGTCTAAGCTTTAAAAATAAATCCTTTGTTATTGTGCGATTCTCCTTATTATTATTAACAAACACATTTGGGGCTTGTAAATTACGGGAGGGCGGCGGGAGATGGGTCTAAAATACGGGAGACACCCGGGAAAAACGGGAGTGTTGGCAGCTATGATCTAACGTTATAGTCTGGACTTTGTCTGGAGTGTGTCTGTGTAAACGGCTTCATTCAGCGTCTCTCCCTCCCCTCTGGCACCGTCAGTTACCATGGTTACGGGAACGCCCTGAAACTTTATATTGATAATCAATAAGAAGCTTTTGGTTAGTTTGACTGTATAAATCATGAATGTAGCCTGATTGTAGCTCGATGCTGAAATCTTGTATTCTAACATATAAGTTAGAACAAATGTGAAGCCTCAGAGCTTCTTTGATTATAAACAGTATGTTAGTGATGACAGAAAGGTGATAACTCGCCATCAGACTGACGAGGCTGCAAAAGTTGCTGTTTGTATGATGTATTTTTCTGTTAAACGATAAGAGGCTCACTTTAAACAAAATTATTAATAATGATAATTAATGATAATGATGATGAGAAGAAGAAGAAGTAGAAAAATAGCGTACTGAAAAGTTCTGTAGGTTGATTATTTGAAAGAGTAAAACTAAAAAAAAAGGCACAGTTTGATTTCATAGATTGAAAATTACATTGAAAAGACAAAAAAATATATAAGTGTGAATAGAACAGCTGTTCAGGTCATCCTCCTGTAAAACACTGTTAGTCAAATACTTGATGTCTGCATTAGAGAACATGGTGTGGGGTGAGGCTGTAAATCTTATCTTAGTTTTTAAAATAAATTTGAATAAACTTGAAGACTGGCGTTAACTGAGCGGTGCAGCTCTGACAGAAAAACGAGACTAGACCAAATGACAAACACACTCTGCAGCATTGAACAACTTAAAACAACTCTGAGGTGAAGAAAGTAACTCGGTGCTCAGTAACTTATGTTTCACCTCAAAAACCCTGCCTGTTCATTGTCCTAAAACGAGCTAACAGTGCAGCAGAGAGGCTGCTCTCCATTGCTGAAGATATAATGTTCATACGAAAACAGTTGCTGGAGATATAACGTTAATAACAAGACAGCTGCTGAGATATGATGTTATGAGCTATAATGATTATATACAGAGAAACTTTATTTACAAACCACATCACAGCGAGTTGCAAAAAGAAAGGTTTTTTTTATGAATTATGTCAGTCACTATCTGTATGTCCAGAGTTGCAGTGCTTCTTTTAATAGCTTTTTCATTTACATTTCAGACAATGACGTGGATGGAGAGACAGTAGACTGCGGACTCACGGAAAATATGATTCCATATCTCTTTGACAAGTCTTTCGAAAAGCAGTAAAAATTCAGAGACTTCATACGCCGCTACAAGGAGGTCACCCTTACTTTGGAAGTAGTCAACCCAGAATAACAAACATGTGAAGCTCCTGTGTCCCCAGCAAACCAGAGGTAATAATGTATTAATTATGCTATTTTTTTCACCTTTTCTCATTCTCTTTTTATCTTGCATTGAGGTGTTATTGTCATAATCTGCTTTAAAGTGGTAGCAAAATGGCAGAGATAATGCTGTTCTTCTGCTGTATTGCAGTTTGGAATCTACTTGCCACAGACTGCCTGCAGTCATTTCCATTCCACAATTCCCACAAGATGTCCAGAGCCGCTTAGATGCCAAAGAACCGGTCCACAAGAAACAAAAGTACCGTAACACAATAATTGGGACTCTGTATGACATGCTGTCACAGTGTACAATGTCATCATAAATCTTTTTTTAAAGATAAAAACATAAAA